TTCTGCTCCGTTCCACAAGCTGTCTTGGGCGTTGTTTCACATCCAGGCTGCTCATACGCCTCCTGAGCCATCCTGGTCCTTGGACCGGGTGCTCTCGTTTCTCTTATCCTTGGTTTGTTGTGGCCCCTTCCTTTCGGGATTGTTTTCCCTAAAGCTCTCTTCCTGTTGGCTTTGACATCTGGGGGTCGGGTAGGGAAACTTCATGCTCTCCTCTGGCGCAGGGGTTTCTGCTCCTTCGGTCTTGGTGGTCGTTTTGTTTGGATGCAGCCGTTTCCTCCTTTTCTGGCAAAGAATAAAACGGCTGCGTTTCAGAGGGGCCCCTTGGGTTGTTGATGCTTAGTTGGTTAGGCCAGGAGTGCGTCATGTGTCGTTTTCGGTTGCGGATCTCCGCTGTTATTTAAGTGCAACGGCTTCAGTGGCTGGGATGCACTTTGGGTTGACCCAGTTTCCCTTCTTCCCTTTTCTCAGGCTCAGGTCTCTCAGGTTGTCTGCAGGGTTAAGTCTAGCCAGCCTACAGTTTATCCCCGTGCCCACGACATACGTATGTTTGCGGCTTTGGCTGCCGTTTGTGGCAACATGTCTTGGGTTGACATTCGGGCACAGGGTTTTTGGAGGTCGAACAGGGTCCTGGCTGCTCGCTACCTGGAGAATGTTCTGGGGGCCAGGTAGGGCCTGCATTGCCTTGGGTCAGTATGTGCAGCCAGTTGTCTCTACTTTGCGTTGAGGAGTGAGGACATACCGCCTCACAGTCGAGTCCCTATTTTTCCTTATCTTTGAATAGTTAGCTCCGGGGTGCCAACGGGGCTCCCACCCCCCCCCCCCCCCCCCAGAAAACCAACGTTGAATTTAAAGAAACGCTATTTTCTGGGTGAGTCCCAGAGACTTCCAGGCATTCCTCCCTCCCTCCGGTCGGCGGTGTTTTTCATGTTTTTTTTATATCCAGCCTAAGAACTGAAGGTGGGGTCGCTGGCGGATGGGTCTGAGGCTCCCCCTATCCCCTCCTGGGGAGGGAAGTGGGTTGCGCAGACAGCGGCGCGGCTGCATCATGTCGTCATGCTAGTTTGCTAATTTTCGTTTGGGGAGTTCTGTCCACCTGTTTGGCTTTCATTCACAATACTTTTACCAGAATAGGGGTTTGTTTTGGGGTGCCTACCTTCCTGGGTGCCTGTCCCAGTCGATAACAGACATAGAATGCTCCCAACCACAGGGGGGTCTCTATAGGCCATTGCTCCTCATGCTTCTCTAGAGGGGGCCAGGTTCTAGCTCGTGGTCCCTGGTAGGCAAGAACTCCATGCATTGACTGATGCCAGACAAATGTACATATCCATCCAGCCTGGATAGCTCCGGGGTGCCTCCGGGACTCACCCAGAAAATGGCGTTTCATTTCATTCAACGTTGGTTTTAATTTATTTATAGCAAAAGTTTCGTTCGGTGTTCGACAGGTAGGCTGCTCCATGTTTCTTAAATAAAAAAAAAGTTGAAACAATTTGATAAACGAACAAATGCCATAAAAGTTCATTCAGTGTATGTCGGGTAGGCTGCTCCATTATGACAATCTTTGTTTCAAATGTGTTCCATTTATTTTGTATTTTCCATTTGTCTCAATGATGGAGCAACCTACCTGACATATAATGAATGAACCTTTATTGCATTTGTCAGTTTTTCAAATTGTTTAAACTGTTTTTTTTTATTTTTTTTTATTTAAGAAACATAGAGCAGCCTACCTGCCAATCACTGAACGAACCATTTTGATATTTTTTGTTCTAATTATTTCATTTCATTTTTCTACATAAGTCAATGCTTTGCAACATCACAGTAGTCACCCCTTTATATCCCAGCATCATTAGCATCTTTAAACAAAAAACATAATTTATTTGCATCGTCGAAGACGCCAGAGAATGTGCGAGAAGCAGCGCGACCCCACCATGTGGTGCTGTCATTACTCAAATGAGCGCTCACCATACGAGAGGAATTGTCGGTGTAAAACAGAACATAGCCTATTCTATAAATTCATTAACAGCAGTTTGCAGGTAAAGGATAATATTCAGAGGTTTAAAACGGGAAACAGATTCATGCAAAATGAAAAGGAAATGTGTGAAACATTAAATCAACAGTTCCAAAGTGTCTGTGTGAAACAAAATCTTTAGAGAGCCAGACACAATAAGAATTCCACGGAACAACATGGAGCACATAGGTGTCTAGAGACAAATTGGAAAAATGCTCAAGGAACTTTGTAAGAACAAAGAAGTTGGCCCAGACGGAGTTTCATTATGGGTTCTGAGAGAATCACACCCGTGGTCAACATTCCACTTCAACTAATTTTTCAGGCATCCTTGTTTACAGAAGTCGTAGCAGTTGTGTGGAAAAAAGCTAACTTGGTTCCAATCTACAAAAGTGGCAGCAGGGAAGGCCCCGTCAATTATAGACCTGTATCATTAACCACTTAACTGCGCCAACCAAGTATTCTTGGTCGATGGGAAACTGTGCCTACCAAGAAAACTTTATTTTTTCGTACCCATTCTTAATGTGTGCGAGGTTGGTTGTGTATAAAATGGACTCTTTGGATCTTCAGTGAGAGGCAGCCATCTTGGAAAAAAAACTTAGACCAAAACTGGAATATGCAGCAGTTGTATGGTGCCCATATCTTAAGAACATCATCATCAAACTGGAAAAGGTGCAAAGACATGCAACTAAATGGCTCCCACAAATGAAGGACAAGTTACGAGGAGAGGTTAGAGGCATTAAATATACCAAAACTTGAAGAAAGAAGAAAAGAAAAAGAGGCGTTTTGATCATTACTTACAAAAAAAAACGAGAATTGATAAAATTGGTAGGGAAAAAGTCTCAAGACCTGGAACTTCAACAAGAAGTCATAGATTTAAACTAACCAAACAAAGCTGCCGAAGAAATATAAGAAAATTCACTTTCACAGAGTTGTAGATGGTTGAAACAAGTTAGGTGAGGTGATGGAGGCTAAAACCATCAGTAGTTTCAAAGCGTTATATGATAATGAGTGCTGGGAAGACGGGACACCACGAGCGTAGCTCTCATCCCATAACTACTAATTTTTTTTTTTTTTTTTTTTTTTTTTTTTTTTAAGATATATAAGAGTTGTTACATTCTTGTACAGCCACTAGTACGCGTAGCGTTTCGGGCAAGTCCTTAATCCTATGGTCCCTGGAATACGATCCCCTGCCGCGAAGAATCGTTTTTTCATCCAAGTACACATTTTACTGTTGCGTTAAAAAAGAGGCTACAGTTAAGGATTTGCGCCCAGTAAATCCTCCCCGGCCAGGATACGAACCCATGACATAGCGCTCGCGGAACGCCAACGGAGACTTAGATAATAACACTCTTAGTGCTTTGTCAAGGTCTGAGTATGTGATTAGGACGAGACTTGAAATGCAAGTCTCACATTAACCATATACTCTGACCTTGACAAAGTACTCAGGAGAGTGCAAAAGACTTGGTGTAATGATTTACATAAATTTCATAAATACATAATTAGGTTTTTATTCTGATATTATGTCTGTGAGAAGACATTACCATTATAAATATAAATAATAAATATATTTATTCAGGTAAGGTATATACATACAAGTGATGTTACATTAATGGATTGATATATAGATAGAGCTAGTACATACAATGCCTAAAGCCACTATTACGCGATGCGTTTCGGGCAAGAAAAACATTAATATCTAGAACTTAATACTAATTGAGCATAAAGAATAAAAAGTGTTGAGAACAAATACAAATAAAGATAAAAAAAAGGGGGAACATGACTGAAAAAGCAGCACAAATACAATAGGTTGACAGTGTTGATTAAAAAAAGAAAATAACAGACATGGGTTGACAATAGAGGAGTGAGGTAGGTTACAGGGAATTTATTAGGTAGTGTTTAGTTTTTATCTTAAACTTAAACTGGTTGAGAGAGGTACAGTCTTTAACATGGTTGGGAAGGTCATTCCACATTCTGGGCCCCTTGATTTGTAGAGCATTTCTAGTTTGATTAAGTCGTACTCTAGGAATATCAAAACTGTGTTTATTTCTGGTGTGGTGCTCATGGGTTCTGTTACAACCTTCTATGAAGCTTTTGAGATCAGGATTGGCATTATAGTTTAGCGTTTTATATATGTATAATACACATGAGAGAATGTGCAGTGACTTAATGTCTAACATATTCAGAGATTTGAGAAGGGGTACCGAGTGATGTCTGGGGCCAGAGTTGGATATTGTTCTAATAGCAGCTTTGTGTTGGGTAATTAGAGGACGTAAGTGATTTTGGGTAGTAGAACCCCAAGCACAAATACCATAGTTGAGATATGGATAGATAAGGGAGTAATAGAGAGTCACCAGGGCAGGGCGTGGTACATAATATCTGATCTTAAAGAATGCCCACAGTTTTTGAAACTTTTTTTTGATATATTTAGAATGTGTCCCTGGAAATTCAGCTTGTGGTCAATGAGAATACCAAGGAATTTGCCATCTAATTTGTTACAAATTTGGGTATTGTTTATTTTGAGATTTATTTGACTAGAGGATTTATTGCCAAACAGAATATAGAAAGTTTTGTCAATGTTAAGGGTGAGTTTGTTGGCAGTTAGCCAAAGATGGACTTTATTTAGCTCAGTATTTACTGTGGCATTTAGAGCAAGAGGGTCAGGACTGGAGTAAATGAAGGTTGTGTCGTCAGCAAATAGAATAGGTTTGAGGTGTTGGGAGGCATTTGGAAGGTCATTAATGTAGATGAGAAAGAGGAGAGGGCCAAGTATGCTGCCCTGAGGAACACCAATGTTGATGGGTAGGGTGGGAGAAATTGTATTATTCACAGAAACATATTGGAGCCTGTCAGTAATTACTTATTAAATAATAATAATAATAACTAGTAGTAATAATAATATTAAGTTCATTCCTCTGGGCTCTAGGAGACTTAATTAATAATTAATTACTTTAATAATTAATAATATTAATAGTGACTCCTGCCTCCTCTCCCACAGATGACAATTGACACGCTGTTTCTGTGCTTCTGTGAGGACTGTGAAAAGAATGATGGCATCCAGCGACCCTACTACATGAGCAAGGGTCTCATGGTGGGTGATCAACTCTATAGCTTTTCTCACCGAGACATTAGCAAAATATTACCTTTCTGTGGGGAACCGATATCCAGGCTGATATGCCAATGTCAGCAGACTTTGGCATCAGTTGTGTGTGTGGAGTTCTGTGGGCCTACCGGGGACCACGAGCCAGAACTTCCCCCTCCCCCCCCCCCTCCTTACAGAGGCACGAGGAGCCTATAGAAACCCCCCGTGTGGTTGGAAGCATTCTATGTCTGCCATCGACCGGATCAGGCACCCAGAATGGTAGGCATCCCAAAACAAACCCCTATTCTGGTGAAAATTGCTTCAAAAAGCCGAACAAGTAGATAGAACTCCCCAAACAGAAACGAGTATGACGTCACACGTCACCATGCCGCCGTCTGTGCAGCTTCCCCCCCCTTCTCCGGGAGGGGGAAAGGGGGAGCCCCTGATCCCCGCATCGTCCATCCACCTCGGTTATGAGGCTGATGCTATTGGCAACGGTCGTGTGCTCTGGCTCCAGTGATTGTTTCAGCGCTGTGCCTTGTGTGTGGTGTCTGTCCTCAAGGGGTCCGCGAGCCAGGAGTGATTCTTCAGTACTCGGGCTGCATGCGCCTAGGGCTCCCTTCCCTAGGTGCCCTGTAAGTACTGCCCTTGGGGCTTGGGGTCACCTTCCACAAGTTCCTTGGGGTTCTGCCTCTGCTAGGTTTACTGCTCGATTTTCAGCCGCTCTTTGTGTGTTGGGGTGGTTTGTTTACCTTAGAGTAAGGGGCAGTTTGCACTGGTACGGGGCACGTGGTACTGCGCAGCTTGTTTTCACCCGGGAGTTCAGCTTTAGGAGTTTGCTTGGTAGACTTGGGTGCCAGTTTGCAGTACCCTGCCTGGGCTTCCCTTAGCGTGTTACCAAGGCTAAGGGCCCTGGGAAACCCCTCGGTGGCTACGAGGGTCCAATGGATGTGACCCCTGAGTCTCTCCCTCACTTTGTGTGAGTTCGAGGTTTGCTCTGTCCCCCTTGTCTCAGGGTGACTCATTGTCTTTGCCTCCGTCACGCTGCCTGCTGGGTCTGCGATACCTTCGACCCGGTGTCCTGCGAATTTTGTTGCTTGCTGGTGACTCGGTTTACCCAGTCTAGTGATGACGTTATACAGGTACAGGCAGTGCAAGCATTGCATGTTAGGGTTAAATTGTTGCAATGTGCTAGGTTGGTTGCTATGCCGGATTCCCTAAGGCTGCCCCGTTTTGCTTATAGGGATTCAGACTTGGGGGTAATGGTCACTTCGGCCTTATTTATTTATTTATTTATTTATTTATTTATTTATTTATGCATATACAAGAATGTACATAAGGAATGTGAGGATACAAATATGGTAATTACAGTCTTGTAAAGCCACTAGCACGCGCAGCGTTTCGGGCAGGTCCTTAATCTAAGAAAATTTTAAGGAGGTAAATACATGCAAAATTTATAGACAAAAAAAATCATAACAGATTACATGAAATGAAAAAAAAAAAAAAAAAGATGAGAGAAAATTGTAGGTACAGTATATTAAAGCACATAGGTAGCTAAGATTGATTGCAATGACAGCTTAAAATGGTAGTTGACAACAAATTGGTAGTCGCAATACAGCATATGGCTAGCACATAAAAGAAGACAGCAATGAACACAATGATAAGGTTGTTTGATATTACATAAAAATTAGGAGATTGGGTAACACTAGGTACAGAGCAAATTTAAAGCTCAGTGTAGGAAACTAAGAAGATGAAGTTAGGTACTTTTTGGTTTTGCTTTTAAATAAGGCAAAAGTTTTACAGTTTTTCAATTCACTAGGGAGTGAGTTCCATAGACTAGGTCCCTTAATTTGCATAGAGTGTTTACACAGATTAAGTTTGACCCTGGGGATATCAAAGAGATATTTATTTCTGGTGTGGTGATAATGGGTCCTATTACATCTGTCCAGGGAGAGTTTCAGAGCATGGTTTGCATTTAAGAACAGGGTTTTGTAAATGTAGTTGACACAAGAGAATGTGTGGAGGGAGTTAATATTTAGCAAGTTTAGGGATTTAAACAAGGGAGCTGAGTGTTGTCTGAAAGCAGAGTTAGTTATAATTCTGATAGCAGATTTTTGCTGTGTGATGATGGGCTTAAGGTGGTTTGCAGTGGTAGACCCCCATGCACAGATACCATAATTAAGATAGGGGTAGATTAGTGCATAATATAGTGAGAGGAGAGCAGAGTTAGGAACATAATATCTGATTTTGGAGAGTATACCAACTGTCTTAGAGACTTTCTTAGTTGTGTTGAATGTGGGTGCTGAAGTTGAGTCTCTTGTCTAGGAATAGGCCAAGAAACTTGCCATCATTTTTATTACTGATGTTAATGTTGTCTATCTGTAGCTGAATTGCATTTGATGATTTGCTTCCAAATAAGATGTAGTAAGTCTTTTCGATGTTTAATGTTAGTTTGTTCGTTGACATCCATAAGTGGACTTTTTTTAATTCATTATTCACAACATTATTTAGTGTATGTGGGTTGAGGTTTGAGTAGATAAGGGTAGTATCGTCAGCAAACAATATAGGTTTGAAAATATTAGAGACATTAGGCAGATCGTTTATATATATAAGAAATAGAAGAGGTCCTAAGATGCTGCCCTGTGGCACTCCAACGGTAATTGGTAGAGTGGAAGAAGTTGTATCATTGATGGTTACATATTGGTGTCTGTCACTAAGATAGGATCGGATGTAGTCAAGGGCAAGGCCTCGGATTCCATAATGCTGGAGTTTAAGTAAGAGGTAGTTGTGATTAACAGTATCAAAGGCTTTTCTTAGGTCAATGAAGAGTCCAATCGGAAACTCATTTTTGTCAAGGGCTGAGTAGATAATGTCAAGGAGACTAATGATTGCATCATTGGTGCTCTTTTGGGACCGGAAGCCAAACTGGCAGGGGCTGAGTATGTCGAATTTTACGAGGTAGGAATAGAGCTGTTTGTAAATAATTTTTTCAAATATTTTTGATAGAGTGGGTAGATTTGATATTGGTCTATAATTGTTTATGTCCGCCGGATTGCCTCCTTTATGGACTGGCGTTACTCTTGCTTTTTTGAGGATATCAGGGAAGGTGTGATACTCTATAGATTTGTTGAACAGTAGTGCTATGGGTGGGGCAAGGGCATGGGAGGCTCTCTTGTACACAATGGACGGAATTTCACTGGTGTTCCCTGCCTTGGTTTTTAGAGAATGTATGATGGACACAACATCTGCCGGGCTGATTGGTGAAAGGAGAAGAGAGTTTGGATAGCTGCCTGAGAGATATGTGTTAATATGTGTCTGAGTCTGTGGGATTTTACTGGCAAGATTAGCACCAACCGATGAAAAGAAACTATTAAATTCATTTGCCATTTCTAAATCAGTTGACGGTATATCCCCATCCTTGTAGAGTTTTATTTGGTTATGTGAGTGTTGTTTAGTTCCTAGGATACTAGAGATAGTTTTCCAAGTGCTTTTCATGTTGCCTTTTGCTTCATTGAATCTATTCACATAATATGCAAGTTTTGCCTTTCTTATGATACTGGTAAGCATTGATGAGTACCTTTTAGCTACTTCCTTTGAAACTAGGCCAATCCTAACTTTCTTTTCATATTCATGTTTCTTGTTGATTGAGTTGAGAATGCCACTTGTGAGCCATGGATTGTTTAATCTTTTGTCAGTTACTTGCTTGGTAAGAAGGGGACAATGAAGGTTGTAGAGGCTTAGAGTTTTGGAGATGAAGAGGTGAAGATGAAGCCTTGGTTTCGTCTGTACCCCCTCGTCCTTCCCCTTCTGTGGCTCGGTCTGGTCCCTCCCCCCCTGCTTCTGGCTCCGAAATGTCTGAGGGTTTTTGGGTCAGAGCTTAGATAGTCTTGAGACTTGGGCAGTCTCGGGTGATGCCCCTTCCAGTGTGGCGGTGGAGGCATTCGAGTCTGCTCTCCCTGCCGAAGCGTTGGGGTCTGACCAGTGAGCCTCCTTCCGTCTGGCTTTTATGGCTGTGCTGGCCTTTTCTTTTGAGGCTGGTGCTTTGGGAGATGACTCGGCCCCTGGTCCTGATGCGAAGGTTTCTGGGGCTGGGGAGGGGCATACTTGGGGGCCTTGGGCCCTGTTAGATCCTGCCTGGGTTTTTCAGCCCTCAGAGTGGGGCTTACTGTTACAAGTAGAGGGGTTTTTCCTTCCCCCCCCCCTCCCCTCTGCATATGAGTTGGATTTAGTGTCTGCCCCTCCCCGGGGCAGACACTTGTGGGTTCCATGTCCCTTCGGGTTTGGTTCCATGTCACTTCGGGTCAGTCTTTCCGGAAGTTTTTGGCTTCCCGCATCCAACCTGGTGTGGTGCATGCGGCCTTTGTGGCCTCCTGCGTGACTCAGATTACGCCTCAATCATGGATCCATCTTCATTCAGGTTTGGGTCTTCGTTTTCTTACTGAATCCGGTATGAGGTCCTGGAGTCGTTGTAACAGTGTAAATGAGACAGGTGGTTGCAGCTTATATATAAAGAAAAATTAATATCAGTATAACATCATAGATAGAATAACATCAGTCAACTCTCTCTACTTTCTCAAGTAGACACAAGAGAATGTGTGGAGGGAGTTAATATTTAGCAAGTTTAGGGATTTAAACAAGGGAGCTGAGTGTTGTCTGAAAGCAGAGTTAGTTATTATTCTGATAGCAGATTTTTGCTGGGTGATGATAGGCTTAAGGTGGTTTGCAGTGGTAGACCCCCATGCACAGATATCATAATTAAGATAGGGGTAGATTAGTGCATAATATAGTGAGGAGAGCAGAGTTATCTGATTTTGGAGAGTATACCAACTGTCTTAGAGACTTTCTTAGTTATGTGTTGAATGTGGGTGCTGAAGTTGTCTCTTGTCTAGGAATAGCTAGGCCAAGAAACTTGCCATTATTTTTATTACTGATGTTAATGTTGTCTAGCTGTAGCTGAATTGCATTTGATGATTTGCTTCCAAATAAGATGTAGTAAGTCTTTTCGATGT